CGGCGGCGGCGGTGGAAGAGTCGTGGGTATTCGCGACCGTCGTTGGTGCTCACCGGACCAGAGCGTCGTCGCCGGAGCAGCCACAGCGAGTAGGTAAGGCTCTCGAAGCTTTCTACTGGTCCAATCTCTCTCCCTTCCTCCCTGGTCACATCCTTCTCGAGCCCTTATGAAATTTAGGCGGATTCGCGGCACTCTAGTGTCCATGTCGGCAGGGGAGTCGCGTGCGTGCCATTTAGGCCGGCATTGCGTAGTTTCGTCGCCGTCGCGATGGTAGTCAAGCCGGCGAGGCTTGCCCGTTCGACAACTATCTCTCTGTTTATGAGAGATTAGATTCCTGCAATTCTATGTGATAGCGATTTCTAATGTGTTTCTGTTAGTTTTGATGGTGTCATAGGCTGCGATTATCACTGTTTTAGGGGCGATGTTGTAGTCGAACTCAGGGACTGATAGTTGGGTTTGAACCCTAGATCTAGTTAGGTGCATTTCGATGTGTAGGATAATGGCAGTCATGGCAATTTCAATGCACTTGTTTATCTACAACTATCTTACTAGACGACAACTAATTTTCTGAATCAACTATGTCAGTTGCCATGTCCCATGTAGGATAATGGCAGTTTGTGTGTTCCACTGTACTTTCTTAGTTGCCACTCTGTCTACTACTAACATGGCATCTTGAATCTATTAGATGGCAACTCCTTTTATGAAGTCAAGGTGTGAGTTGCCACATTATATGTTGTACAATGACAGTTGGGTGTTCCACTATACTGCCTTAGTTGCTACTTTGTTTTCTACTAACATGGAAACTTTAATCTGCTAGATGACAACTCCCTTTTTATGAAGCCAATGTGTCAGTTGCCACATTATATGTTGGATAATGGCAATTGGGTGTTCCATTGTACTGCCTCAGTTGCCATATTGTTTACTGCCAACATGGCAACTTGAATCTACTAGATGGCAACTCCCTTTTTCCGAAGTAAACCTTTTTAGTTGCCATGTTTTTGCACTTGTTTCAGTGGTTATTTTTCGCCTACTGTGCATGTTCAGCAGATGGCAATTACCTCCTTTCACACGCTAAGACTTTACTTGACATGTTTTGTTTTTGCGCAAACATGGCAACGTAAATATTTTTAGTACATGGCAACTTCTGATTGAACCCAATTTTTGTCAGTTAGCTTGTTTATTCAGTCATCTATGTCTCAGTTTTTGCTAAATTGTGTTCAGGGAGATGGCAAACTACATATACGTAGCATGGCATTATTTTTGCATGCCTTTTCCTCAAGTACTTTTTTGTCAGCTGCTTAGTTTTGCTTAGGAGCATATGTCATGCATTTTTCAGATTGCAGGTGGCAACTCCCTCTTATGACACACTGTATACATTTCTTTTAGGGTAAACATGGCAGTTTTCATTTTGTTGTTGATGATATCAACTGCCTCGTTACTTCGTGCATCTCTTTCTGCATCTTTCGTTTGTGCTTTCATTTATACTAATGTGTTTTTGTTCTTACTGTAGCACAATGGCCCGTGGTGACCATCAAGATGATGATGACGACTTCATGGAGGTACCGCCATGGAATCGTGCAACTGGTCATAAAAGACGGCGACGAGGTCACTTTTTCCCCTCTATTTTATTGTGATACTGAGTTTACATTCATCCATCAGAACTAATTTTTATTATGTTGAACATGGCAAACAATGACCCTTTTATGCTCTGCAGAAGAAGAAACATCAGCGCAATAGGGCTTCGCAAGAATGCTTGACTATATTGACCAAGGGTTTTACTAATGACCAGAAGGGAGCTGCCGGTGAGATGGGGATGCAGGCATTGATGGATGTTCGATGCATGAATCTAGTGAACCCTGTATGCGACTGTCTCGGTGAGATATGTGATTCTGCGTCTAGGGAATTCATCATTCCGGGACGTGGAAGACTCTCTTTGGACGAGGAATCTGTGTTCTGCACTTTGGGTGTCTCCCGTGGAGAAATCAAAGTCCCGTATGAGGTGAACAATGAGATTGAGGAAGTTTTGTTCGCCAGTTTGTTTACTGGAATGGCATCCATGCCTAATACGACTATGCTGGCAACTTCGCTGGAGGGCATGACAACCCATGGCAAGGTATTTAAGATGAAGTTGTTTGTCACGCCCAATATGCGACCCTATCCAAAAGAAACTTGAAGGTTCCACCAAGGATAGACCCGCATATTGAAACACTTTTGCAAGGTGGATATCATTACATCAACATTACATAATATATGGGGATACATACCTAAGGCATACAATGCCACTCGAATACAACATCACAATACATCAGAGCATCATCCGACTACAGATGAAACACAAACAGAAACTCAAACGACATCCACCCTGCTAGCCCAGGCTACCGACCTGGAACCTATCCCTGATCGAAGAAGCAGAAGAAGAACTCCAACACAAGCAAACATCGCTCTCGCGTCATGATCATCGCAAAACCTGTACCTGCAACTGTTGTTGTAGTAATCTGTGAGCCACAAGGACTCAGCAATCCCATTACCATGGGTACCAAGACTAGCAAAGCTTAAAGGGATAGGAAGGGGTAAAGTGGTGAGGCTGCAACAGCGACTAAGCATATATGGTGGCTAACATACGCAAATAAGAGCGAGAAGAGAACAATCAGAACGGTCGTCAACTAGTAATGATCAAGAAGTGATCCTGAACTCCTACTTACGTCAAACATAACCCGGAAACCGTGTTCACTTCCCGGACTCCGCCGAGAAGAGACCATCACGGCTACACACACGGTTGATGCGTTTTAATTCGGATCTGGTGTCAAGTTATCTACAACTGGACATTAATAAATTCCCATCTGCCTATAACCGCAGGCACGACTTTTGAAAGATTATACCCTACAGGGGTGTCCCAACTTAGCCCATGACAAGCTCTCGCGATCAACGAAAGAATAGACCTTCTCCCAGGAAGACCCGATCAGACTCGGAATCCTGGTTTACAAGACATTTCGACAATGGTAAAACAAGACCAGCAAAGCCTCCCGCTGTGCCGACAAATCCCGATAGGAGCTGCACATATCTCGTTCTCAGGGCACACCGGATGAGCCAGACGTCGGGTTGGCATAGACCCTGGTTGCCCAGGGGGCACCGGACATCGCTCGGTTCGGACCAACACTTAGACAAGCACTGGCCCGGGGGGGGGGGCTAAAATAAAGATGACCCTCGGGTTGGCCGACCCAAGGGAAAGGGATAGGTGGTGGTGAGGCAAATGGTAAAACCAAGGTTGGGCCTTGCTGGAGGAGTTTTATTCAAAGCGAACTGTCAAGGGGGTCCCATAAATCACCCGACCGCGTAAGGAACGCAAAATCCGGGAACATAACACCGGTATGACGGAAACTAGGGCGGCAAGAGTGGAACAAAACACTAGGCAAAAGGCCAAGTCTTCCACCCTTTACCAAGTATATAGATGCATTAATAATATAAGAGATATTGTGATATCCCAACCAAAATCCTGTCCACCAAGGAGAAATCTTCAACTTCACCTGCAACTAGCAACGCTATAAGAGGGCTGAGCAAAGCGGTAATATAGCCAAACAACGGTTTGCATAGGAAAGGTGTCAAAGGTTAGAGGTTCATGGCAATATGGGATGGCTTGATAGACAGGTGATAGGTAGCGCAGCATAGCAATAGAACGAAGCATCTAGCATAGCAATGATAGTAGTGAGATCCAGGGTAGCGGTCATCTTGCCTGAAATCCCACAAGGAAGAAGAACGAGTCCATGAAGAAGACGAACGGATGAAGCCGAACGAACCGTAGACGAATGAATCCTCACGATCGCAACGAAACAGGAACTAACAAGAAGAAGCACACAACAAGGTAAACACATCACACATGAACAAGACATGATGCACAACAAGCATGATGCATGACAAGGCTACATGAGGCTACTCATGGCAAGAGATGATGCAAACAAGAGCAACACATC